GCTGTGATGGGGCAGCTCATCAATGGGAACTGACAGAAGAGAGACCCCTTCTCTCCACATGTGATTGATCACAGGATTGCCGTGACCCAACAGTGGGATGCAGTTGTGGAAAAGGCAAATAGAATGCAAGGATGCACTGGGCTAAAAATAATCGTTTCTTTCAAAGATAAAGAGATATTAATGCCATTGTACAGAATATGGGTGAGACTTCATCTAGAACATGGTGTATGATTCTGGCTTCTCCTTGTTTAAGAGAAATAAATGCATGCTGGGACAGGTCCAGAAACATGCTATTAGAAAGATGCTGGAAGTAGACAACCTATTTTATGAGAGGAGAGTAAAAGACCTTGGCTTGTTCAGCCAAACAAAACAAAGGCTAAGAGGCGGATACGATTGCAACAGCAGGGAAAAATTTTGAGAGCGAGCAGCTACCAAAGCTGAATTGGCACAAGAACACAGGGGTATAAACTGGCCATGCATAAATTTAAACTAGTCGACTAAGGCTATGTAATAGGGGCGAGAAATCTAGCAGACTTTTAAGATGAAACTTAAGACTACATGACAGGGTTAGCTAAAACAGCAGGGAATCAGACTTAGTGTCCAAGTCCTTTCTGATCCTCTATAAATTGTGACTGTATCACAATCACCTGGATTGGAAGAACCATTCTATTATTTTTAAAGTTTTCACTGTATCTTCAGTGCTGTAGCTGTATCTTTAGAGACTGATAGTTGCATACAAAGATTTTTGAAAATGCATACTTAAATACTGTTATTTCATCATTTAATTTTTTTTAACAAGAAAATTTGTCGGGTCAAAATTGTGGTTTGGAGCGTTAGCAGAATTTGCAGGTACCGCTAGGTATTACTGGGAAGGGACCACAACAGGGGTGGCCAAAAGTACAGAATGACTGAGACAAACTGAAGATGCAAGACACCCACCATATGACCATCCTGCAGCACACAAACATCTGAAGTCACCCAGGAGCTTCCTCACCAGCGCCTAACCTCTCAATGCCACACCCAAGGAGCCACAACTACAGATGTGGAATGAGAGACTGAAGAAAATACCTGACAGCAGAAAAAAAGGACATTCCAGCAGCTGAGTTCTTACCACCAGGGGCTGGCGAACCATAGCAAAGGCAGCAATGTGTCAACTGCCTACCTGCCAGAGTTGGATGCTTCAAGGAATTAATGAAAAAGTGGGGCTATACCATTGGTTCAGCCACCTGAGACTGCAGTGCCCGCTGCCTGAAGGCACATGTACGAAGAAAGACATTGCAAAGTACAATAAATGAGCACAAGCACAAGTAACAAAATAGTCAAATGTGGTATAGAGACGCAAGAAGAACAAGGAGAATGCTGTAAAGGTAGTAAGAATCTTTCTACTGTCAGAATAACTGATAAAGAAATCAAAAGGAGTAAGTGTCAAAATATCCAGATAGATGACTCCATAAAACTGGTGACATCCACATACAACGTTAAGAAAGCTATTCTAATTCACATTTAAGTGCCTGAGAGATCCAAGTTCTACATTTAAAAAATGTTAAATTAACCAAAATGATTAAGAGAAAGCTGAATTTACCAAACACCTTGGAGTTATCCTGCTTTTCTCATGCATGCAAATGCCAAACTTAGTTGCCTGTCTCTTAAACCATATCATAGGCATGAGTAAACTGACAAAGATCAATAAAAGTCAGACACATCAACTCTACAGTTAGAGAAACTGAAACATTAGTAAGATTATCTAGAAAACCGATAAATGTGAGCAAGAGTGTGAGCGAGAGTACGTACACACACACACACTTCCTCTCATAAATATTCAGGTGAAATAGTATACTGAATTAATGCAGTTTTCTTCTAAAATGGCAGCAGCTGCACAATTGCTATGAAGACCCACTTAAAATTGTTAATATCTGTTTACATTATGGTTCCAACTGAAATTGAAGTTCTTCTGTGCTAGGTTCTGCATAAATACACAGAAAGAAGGCCTATCACAAAGATTTTATCATTCAAATAGGTAAAACAGACAAGTGGAAGGAAAGAGGCACAAAAAGGTGGAGAAAAAGGACCTGAAGTCATGCAGCAAGTCAACAGCAGAAGCAGGAACAGACCAAGAGATTTCCTGAGTGCTAACCAAGGACTCTCTGCCCATTTGCCTATCCTGCTACTCCGTGCCAGGTTAATGTAACAATTTATCAAAGAGAGAGGTTCTTGAAAACAACAATGGCACTCCTGATTCATGAACTGGTTACTGAGGCCCTGAGAGACCATGATCTGACAGGGAGGGAAATCCACAATGAGTGGTCGCTCCTTAAGGACATGATCCTAAAAACACAGGAGAAGTCCAATCCAGACTATAGGAAAGGTAGCAAAAGGGCTGGGGAGCCCCTTGGCTCAAGATGGAACTTATGGACCTCCTGAATCTGAAAAGAGAAGCTTATAAGGGATGGAAGTCGGGAACTACCACTAAAGAGGATTATGCAGCACTGGTCCAAACCTGTAGGGAGTGGACCAGAAAAGCCAAGGCTGAAACCAAACTCAAACTGGCTATGGGAATCAAAAGACAATAAAAAGACAACAAAAGCAGATATCAAATTTACATCTGAATAGCTAAATGCCTTAATGCACGTGTAGATGCACTAAGGCACATTAATGTTATGTCAACTGACTTCGGATTAACTTTAGTCCTAAATTGGTCTGTGCACTGCGTAATGTGCCTTAGCGTGTGCACATGTAGTCATGTGCCTAAACTGCCTTAATGTGCATTAGGCAAATGTGCATTAAGTTTAGGTGTGCGTAAAAGCATGTGTAGGCATGCCCACTCTGTCTGCTAGTGATGCACACTGAGTGAAGGCACCAGTCAGTAAAGTGAAAGTGTCTCAGCACATCTTTTAAGAAGTTAAATACAATGCCTATGCCCCCCCACCAATCAGTAGTGCAGGACGGGGACACTAGGAAATGCCTGCAAAAAACAAAATCGGCACTTCATGCTGTGACCAAGCTGCAAAATTGCTTTGTCTCACTGCAACTTAAGTAGACCTCTACAAGTGCCATGGTTCCACGCTTTGGATCTGGCTCACAAACCAGCCCTGCACTTCAGGTTTGAATTGGTTTGGCACAAGTGGCTACAATAACACTCCAATCCAAGTATTTATACTAAATTCACATTTTCAAGGTTTTCTTTGTACCTGTGAGAGCTATGGACCACATTATAATGATTCTTATGCTATCCTGCAACTCTGGCAACATATGCCCATGGTTCCTAGGCCTTACCTCAGCCTTGTCCAGGATGCATCTGAGCCCCAGTAAGGGGAACCAAGTCTGACATACTGATCAGAGTATGCATGGTCACACATTGAACATCTGCATAATCTACTGTGGGTAGGGTTTTTGTGGGTATTGGAATCTCAGCTTGGCAGAACTTGGCTTATGGGGATAGCCCCGTTTTTTTTTATTCCCCAATTCAAATCCTGGCCTTGCTCAGAGCAAGTTTAAACAGTGCTGCTTAAACATGTAGCACTTCTAGAACTGCAGCCATCAATAAAATTAATTCAGTAACTACAACAGTAGGGAAATCTTGCAACATTTTCCAAATGCAAACAGGACATTAAGACAAGGATTCTAACAGCAATCTCCTACACCTCATTACCAGCTCATTGGAGGCAGTATTAGAGGCCTCATCACCTACAGGTGTATTTAATTAGTTATTAAAATTCACTGCAATTTAATTTCTTTCTAGCAGGATTCAACCTGCCCAGCATGGAGAGAAACTGTATAATAATCAGATTCATAAAACATACGCAAATACAAACTGGTTGACCTGGAACCGACTCCAACCACTCTTATTAAATCCAATGGTGTTTGCAGGGTTTAGACCCCTCCCAACCCCAAAAAACCCTTCAGAAGACTTTTTCCAGAAACAGAGTACAAAAATATTATATACCCAAATATACTACTAGGATACTGAAACACAAGAATCCACTATCAAGGGGGCAGGCAATTAGAGTCCAATACAATTCCCTGACAATTTAATGATTGTGTTTTTTTACTTCATTACCTGTATAGGCTGTTGTAATACTAAGAAGCAGAATCTCTTTGGTGAGGCAAAGCTTCATAGATCTCTCTGGAAAAAAAGTAGAAATCACTAACGTTATTAAAGATAAGATTGTTTTTAGACATTATTTTCTAATCTTCATTTTACAATGTTTTTATTTTAAAAGACTGAATACATTCTGGATTGAAAATTTCTAAATGTTCTCTAGGCCAGTGCCACTAGCTAAAAGCACTAATGAGTGGCACACATTTATTAACTGAATTTTTTTCACATGTTGACCTTTAGTTTAAAAGCAACTTTTACTTACTCATGTTGTTTCTTCAGTAAGAAACATCTTTACTTCCCTGAAATGGTTATTCCTTTTAACTTTCACTCCTACTAATGGCCTCTCTCTCCAAGCTTGTCTTTTTGTGTTACAATTACAAGTGGGGGGGGCGGGGGGAGCGGGGATTATAAATTTGCCTATCACAAAAAATAAGCAAACAAGAAAAGAAAAAAAAAGGAGGAGGAAAAAGGGAGGTACAGAAGAGGAAAAGATAAATATGCAAGAGCAACAATCTACTACAACTACTTTAGAATTCAGTTGCCAAATTGGCTAACATGATTCCCTCCATGGATGCTACTTTGTGTCATTTCATTACACCAGGTTTCAACTTTTGGATCCCCAAGTTTGTCTACATGAAGATGTCACTGTGAAGTAAATTAATGTATAACATACTAACAATTCTATGCTACATCTCCATACAGAAGTCCTTTCTTTAAAAAAAATAAAGACATAACCGAAGAGGGCTCTATTTTTGTAAGCACTATACTAGTAAGTAGTAATAAGATAGGGATTTAGCTAGACTATAAATGCAATGTAAATGTAGTGAAAGCCGCATAAATTACCTCATGCCTTTTGCAAAGGAAAAGCATCCAAATAGGCAGTCATTACAGAAGAGTTAACATGCAGCAAATTCACTCCCAAGCATACCTTGTACCAACTTGTTCCTCTAGTCATGCCCTTGGGGAGCACTAGAATTTGTCTACATGATGACATAATTGTGGAGTAAGGCATGGTGTGAATTTACAGCACCAGCTGCTATGTTCTAACTCAGCATTTGAACCTCTTCAAGCACAGTAAGTGTGACAATGCATACTGCACTTTCTTTGCTCTTTCTCTTGAGTCCTGAGAAATTCAAGCTTTCATATCACATACTCTTTGCCTCAAGGTCATGATACTTCAAAGTAGGCAAACACTACAGATGCTCAGACTGATCTGGAACATGAAGATACTGGGTCTTACTATCGTGTTAGTAACCAACAGGGAAACTGCGAGGGTTGTTTAAGAGAATGATAAGTAAAGAAAGTGAAGATTCCCAAGGCTTGTGTGCAGTAGAGACAACAAGGGTTGGAAAAGATGCAGTTATATCAGTAAAACTGCTCTTTAACTGATATGGCAGTTTTTGCTCTTGGAAGGCTGGGAGAGAAGTTGATTTTACTGTGGCAACCAACAGAGCTACAATCTTCCATAAAGCACGTTTACTATTACACTAATAGTGTTCCTAGTAAAGGTATAGCCAAGACAATATTAAATTGTGTAGAGGGAGGAAAGGCTGCAGGTCTGTTGCCTCGCATTCTCAAAGTTTCATCTGTTTGTGAACTGCTGATTAAAATGATTTGCAAGTGTGCATGTATATGAACACAATCATTAATCTGTTTTAATATATTCAGAGGTGGTTCTGAAGCAGAATAATACTTACTAAATGCATCCACTGCTCTCGTCATTTTGCTTTGGGAAGACCTGGATAAATGCATTTTAAAATCAGAAAGATAAACCAGAAATAAACTTGCCTAAGCATTGAAGCTAATTCCATTTTCAGTTTTTGTATACTTTCTTACCAGTTATTATTAGCTAGAACACATTAATGTCTAATAAAATATTTTTGTAAACCTAAACCATTAGCTATAAGGTATTTGCTTACTTACATGCATATTATTTGGAAAAGTAACCTACTTGTCTCTGGGATTTTTTTTTATCATTATTTTTTTTAACTGGATTTTATTTCCTCACTATATTTGCTTTGGTCTTTCTTATGCCTATTATTAACAACATACCTGTATCTGAAAATACCATTTCACGACTACTTTAGTGTTTCCATTTACCCATGCATTTATAATATGTATGACATCTAAGTAATTTGCTAACAATCAGCAACTAAATAATCAATGAGAGCTTAAGACAGGGGTGTGAAACTCACCCTGAGCCCCAGACCAGATCCAGACTGCAAAGGCTCCTCCCAGGCCAGATCTGGGCGGGGATACCAGCAACTGTTGTGTGTCCACTGCCAGGGAACAGCGGAACAATATTTGGGCAGCAGAAGAGCTGTGTTCACATGGCAACATGGGTCCAGAGGCATGCAGCCACACCAGGTTGTGCTAGAGCAACAGTGTGGGTCTGGAGTGCTACCATCCACAGCCATGTCCATCAGGGTCCAGGGTCCCCAAATTCTGCAGCAGGCTGTGCCCTGCAACTTCCAGTGGCCTGCTGGACTACTAGCAGTCTGGATGGAATGGTTCTGCAGTCTGAAGACCAGCCCGCGGGTCATATGTTTGACATCCCTGGCTTAAGAGATCTTTATAGGATAAGAAATTGGTCCGGTATGTGAAACAGCCCTTGCCATTGCAATAGCATGAAATCTTTTAAAACTATTGGACAGATAATCTGTCTACACTGTAGTTGATTTTTTTATGGCAGATTGAGTGGGTGATTTTTCAAAATCCTATCTAAAAAGAAGCCACTAAAGTAATAAGAATTTGCTGCCCTGCCTCTAGCAACAAACTAAAATTACAAACTAGCTCCTAACCCCAGTTAGCTACAAATAAACAATCATGCTATTGTCCTCTTTAATTCAGGGAAGAGGTGTGGATAAACATGTTAACTTGACCACCAGATACAAATTCTGCTAGGAACAAGCCAACTTAAAAAAAAATTCTCTGTGCTACTTGGTAAGGCGGTCAGTCCTCTCAGAATAATTATTCTTGCAGAATAATTATTGCAGCCACACAATATTTGCTTCAGCAAAATATTTGCTTCAACAAAAGTTGTTTAAATGTGTTCTTACAAAGGACAAAGTAAACTTGCCGCTTCAACCCCAGTTTTCAAATCTATTGCATCTCCTGCTTTGCTTCTATTCCCCAATCTCTTCCATGATCGGAGAGCAACAGCTAAGGTTTGGAGTCACTGGCCACATCTACACAAGACTCTGACTGCGGAGTAGCATCACATCATGCAGTAACATCACATCCTGCCACTCCAGTGCTACTGCGTAGTAGTCATGGGCTACTGTGCAGTCAGCATCATAAAAAGCTGTTCCTCAGTGTGACTGAGCAGTAACTCCGGTTACTGTGCAGTAGTCCTTGTTTATACAAGAGCTAAATGGCTGCACAGTAACGACTGCTCAGTCAGCGTCTCGTGCAGACATGGCCACTGAACCTAACACAGCTGGTCTGAGGAGGCAAAAAAAATAAAATTAAAATTAAAAAAAGACTATCGTGGACAAATATATGCTTAACAATGGAAGGAGGAGGTAAGTGACTTCTCCTAATACCCTTCAATGGAAAAACACAACTTGTGCCCTACCCTACTCTCAAGGCAACTGCCCGTAAAGAAACCCAAATGATGTGATCCTCACTTCTTATGGGATAGTAGGGACTCTTGAAAAATATTCTTAAGGCTTAATACCGTGTTCAAAACTTACATGCTTTGGGGTCAGAGGGATAAGGAAGCAAGAAGCTTTCCACAAAGGATTAGGAACACAAGTCTGGCGGGATGGTAGTGTGTTATTGCTTTAAGCACTTACGAGGCATCCCCAAGGTTTTCATTAGTGGAATCTTCCCCCTCCTGAGTATTTGACTCCTCGGGTTTCCTAATCAGAAAAAACAGAACCGTGCCCACGAGACTGATAACAGTTAGAGCGATGAAGACGGTTCTGCGGTCACCCTCTGTGGAAAAACAAAAAGATATCACAACTAGGTTTGACCTAACAAGTCTAATAAACTATTTCTACCTAGCTATGACTTTCCCCATGTTAAAACACAGAACACTTTAAGACAAGATGCATGTAATGCCTAGCATATACTTTGGTGCTGCCTAACTTACTATGCATGTGGGACAAAATGTCCAAATGGCTAACAAATGCCTGCTTTAGTGATGTTATACATACAGAATGTTGGGCATGTAAGAGAATATCACTTCCACTTTTATTTTTATTAACTCCTGTTATAGTCCCTCTATAGTGAAGGGGAAGTGTAGATATTGTAGTAGTATCCAGTACTGCATGCAAAACATGCTATTTCAAACTCAGAAGTATGGATTGGAGACTACATCCCATTCTACCAGTGCTGTTCAGACTTCTAAAACATCTTCCTTTCAAGACCCCAAGATACTATTGTTACACCATATGACACCATAAACAGAGCTGTAAAATCTAAAGGCTTTCGGCTGCTGAAACCTTAGTTTGTCAAAAGATACAGTGCATATCTGGAGGGAATCATAGGACTGGAAGGCTCCTCAGGGGTTGCCTAGTCCAACCTGTTAGCCAGTGTTGGATTTCTAACTAACAATTTATTCCATTGTCCTACTGTTCGGAAGTTTTTTTCCTAATATGTAATCTACATTTGTTTTACTGTAGTTTAAAACATTGTTTTCTGCCCTGCCTCTGAGGCAAAGGAGAATAATTAGTTTCCCTCTTCTTTCTGGCAGCCTTTCCAATATTTTTTAACACTGATATCATATTCCCCCCTTAATCTCTTCTCTAAACTAAATACATCTAGGTCTCTCAACCTTTCTTTACACTCCAACTGCTTTATTAGCTGTCACTCACATTTGGATTATCTCCAGTTTCTCTATATCCTTCTTAAAATGTCATGCTTAGCACTGGACACTCCAGCTGAGGCCTAAGCTGTGCTAAGGAAAGGGTACTATTATCTCCTATGTATTATATGCAGTGCATGTTACTGCATTGCATAGAATACGTTTTATGCACTTAGGGGCCCAACGGCAGTTATAATACCCATAACTGCATTTATTTTTTTTTGTGGCAGCATCAGAGTATAGAAGGTGCCTGCTGTTCCATATTCCTTCTGGAGTAGTTATTCTCAACCAGAGTGCCTTGACACCCTTTCATGGATGCTGCAAAATGTCAGCACTGTTAGGCGTGCAAACATGATTCTTAAGATAAACCCATAGATCTTGAATAGGCATTCACAGTGTTAAAAACGTCCTGACCTATAATTGTCTTTACAAATTCTGTGCAACAGAAAAATTGCTCTATTGTTTTTCTGTACTAAAAAAACTGAGTGAAAACTAAGAGCTGGCATTTTTCAAGGGGTGCCTTGAGTCTAACAAGGGGTGCCTAGAGTCTGAAAAGGCTGAGAACCACTGGCTCTAGAGTAAACAATTTGTTTGGCACAGTGAAGTCGTTGTGGCAGAAGCCTGCCTGCCATTCACCAAGTCCAATCAGGCAGAAAAATTGCTGAGAAGTAGCTAATACTGGTTTGTGATTGAGAAACAAACTGACTAACCTTTGAACTCCCAGAGTTCAAGCCTATGCACTTTTAATTAACTTTCTAGTGGCTCAAAGGGGAACAGAAATAAATGCTATAAATTCCTTAAAAAACTGTGAAAGAACCCAAAACAAGAATGTAGGGGTATAATCTTAAAAAAAATATTGTGTTACATATATGTAAACCTACATGTGTAAGCTATTCTTGTAGGATCCTGAATTAAGATCTAGGAAGGAAAGAGAAAGAAGAACCAATTTACAAGTGTGGTGAAATATTGTTATAATGCCATTAACCTTATAATGAAGTGGAGCGATAGTTTCAATACGAGGATTTTTACACCACTTAAAAATTAAGGAAGTCTTTAATGTGAGTTCCACTCTAGAGTTGTATTCTGGGAAGATTTGCAGGGTTCTTTTAATGTAAGATACATACAACTTCTGGTACTTCAAATCTAGTGTCCCCCAGTGCTTTCACCCAAATTTAAGCTTTTACTTTAAAAAAAGGGTTGAAACCCTTTTTAAAAAAAAAAAAAGGGCATGTTACTCAGAGGTGAAAGTAGCAGCTAGTAAAACCTGGGCCTCACAACACAGGCCGCTAACACTTGACTTACTGTAAAATGGAGGGAAGGACATTGTACATGGTGGTTGTAAACTATACATTCACTTAATTATATTGAGATTAGAATAAAATCTGGATTTTAATGTAGTCACCTATGTAACTGGAGTAATTGTAACTGAAATAATTCCAACTGTTGGAGTTTTAATTTTTATTGTGTCTGGTACATTCTATATTTTACTATATATTAAATTCCTTAAATACAGGATTTAGAGCAGAGTTGAAACAAACTTCAGCGAGACTGAGGGCTTATCTGTAAGGAGTAGTAAGCAGATATAAGGCAAGGTATGGATATCAAACACAATAGTTTTCACAAAACTCCTCTATGTCAACATGGTTATTCTAGGATAAGCATATTCATGTGTGGAAATATTCCTGAATACTTATTGCAAAATAACTTATTCTTCAGTAGCTATCCCGAACAATTTTCCTGTTTAGACAAACTCCAAGAAGCAACAGCCAAAGGGAACAGCAGCTAAAACCCACAGATCTTGTATTATGGGGGTATACCTACTAAAAACAAAATACCTTCTTAAAATAAATAAGGAATATATCAACTAAGCTATAGAGATTGCATGCCATTTTCTATGTTTCTGAATGCTCCCAACAGAGAAGTATCTATTTTTATACACTGTAAGAAACATCAAAATAAATCATACAAACCTGATATATGGGTTTTCCCTTGCCAAGCCAAGTATATATAGAGATTTCCAAAAAACAAGCTGCGGACATCAGAGAAGGGAACACAGAAATTTGGTATTTATTATGATAATGTAACATTTTTAAAGAATAAATTCTAAATACAAAGTATAAGGTACAGCTGTGAAAAAGGGCTAGAAGGAACCTTTCTTCATACTGTCTCACTGCTAACCCTACAGCAATAATTTAAAATTAAATTGAGGATTCCCTTTCATGAGGCTACTCTGTTTGTTGCAAGGATCCAAGATAACATAAGAGTACAGAGGGGGCAAACTCAGATTATGAGTTACCCTCTGCAACATTTGGGGGCTGGAGTGGTGAAAGAGCAGCTGACCCAAAGCTGCAGAGATCAATTTTGCAGTGCTTCTTCCAAGGGGCCATTTTTGTTGCTTGAGGCCTGTTTGGACAATGCTGGACTGGTTGGTGATCACCCTGGGAAATTCTGAGTGTCTAAAGATAAGTTCCTGAACATGTCGTGATTCTGAACAGTGATTCACTACAGCCCTAGAATAAAAAAGTTTCCTTCACAGAAGACAATACATTTTACTCATGCTGAAATAGCATCAGTTGTGCTTCTGGAAACTATGACAAAATGGTGCTTTTCTAATCCCTGAATCTGCTGCTCAATGCAATCTACAATGATCACCAATATATAATCTGGACATGAGATATCTTGGCTTCTCTCCTAACAGACATATGCCTCTTAAGGCTTATGTTTCTATACCAAACAGTGGGGATGTTAGCACACCAGAAGGAGAGGCCTGCAGTATTTAACTTCTGTTTATTATTAAGAATTGCACAGTACTAACAGAAATGTCATCTCCAGCTTTTCCTTCTGTTTCATAGCCTGTGAGCATCACTGAAGTATTTTCTCAGAATAAAATGTCCCTTACATGCTCACTGTACAAACAACAAGAATGAGCATGAACAAATGGATCAGTTTAACCAAGGAAAATTACCTGAACTGTAGAAGTGCCCAGAATACTCCACTATTTCTCCCAATGGTGTTTTCATCTGAATTTATTGTCAGGCAATTTCCCTGTGCAGTCCAAAGTACTAGAATTCAACCAAAAAGTTGCTCAACATGAAGTAAAAGTATCTGAGAGATATATATTAATTCAGTAAAGAAAAGCAAGCAGATGCAGAATAACTGCAATACTTACCAGCAGCTGCTATCCCAATGAAAACAGAAGCAGTGTAGAAGGCCCACGTGAAAGGCTGGATAAAAACCGCAATATATGCACTAAAACATAACAGGTCAGTTTATTACATACATACTAGATATGGACAATATCCAGCGTAGTATGCTCTTTAAAAATTACATATGCTGCTAACTATCCTCTAAGCTAGTTTTGAAAATAATCCAAAGTTTAAGAGGCAAAACAATTGATTATGCTAACAATATACTGATACTTCTTTAATGGAATCATTAAACTGAGACCAGTGGTTAGTTCTTTACTCCAAGGTCAGCCAACCCTGACAGTGCTATGGAAATAGCAAGCTCAGTTTCTGGTAGGAGGGACTGCTTGCAAGTGACACCTCTGAAACTATATTCTGTTCTGCTTGGCCAGTACAGTTTCATGCAAAATACGGTACTTTTGAAGCTGGAGAACCAAACGGAGAAGCATTTGGTGAATACAAAGCAGATGTTATTGATTTTTAAAAGTATTACTTACCTATAAAATATACCACTAACAAACATGGAGATTTGCGGTCCTACTATAGCAACCACTGAAGGTGAAATGAGATTTGATGCAGAAAACACTCCATAAATAATGGCCATGCTACACAAAGAAACAATAAAGATGAGCTGGCATTTAAAATTAAATTTGAGGTGCTGCTAAGTGTAACTGATTATTTTTTAACAAAGACTTTCAAATGATTCCAAACTATTGGAGTGAAATACACCCCCTAGGAAAGGTAAATGCATAAACTTTCTAACCTAGCCACTTTTCCGTTTCTTGTTAATTACGTTAATATGTTTCACCTTATTTTAACAAAGGAACATTACTCTGTAGGGACCTCCTGGGAAATAGTGCCAATTCCCTGCTATCACATTCAAGCACATCATGCAACTTTGACCATAAATTTATGAAGCCTCATCTTAAAACTAGTTTTGCCTTTTTTCTCCCCACCCTTCCTCACCAATTTCTGATTCCTCACTTAATTTTAAAACGCCTCATTCAGGACTGTCTACTACCTATTTTTGTTCCTACTAGCATTGTTCTTTGTCTTAAATTAGACTGTAATCCATTATGGTAGTAAACAAGCTCCTTATGTGATTGTACAGTCCCTTGCAAGTAGGTCCCTGATCATGATTGGGACTTTGGCTCCTAGGGGAATACAATGAAAGAAGAATTGGTTTCCACAGCTCTGCAGTCTTAATTTTCCTCCTGTTTTTCTGACTGTTCTTTCTAAGCATCTCTTGAATGAAATCTCCCCCTGTAAACTGATCCACACGGGCAGACCCTGTGCTCTGTATGGGCACATGGAAGCACACAGGCACAAAGGCTGGTAGAACCCCGGTCTTACTGAGCTACTTTGTGTTCAATAATGTTTACACTGTCTTCACAGCCTGGGTTAAAATCAAAGCATGCGATTAAATAATGGCATTTCCCCCTAAATTTCCATACATGTGACTCAATGAAATAGTAAGGGAATCTAAGAGTAAATGAAGGCATTTAAAGTACGACAGCAATAAAACTTTCTTTAAATGTGTTTTAAAGAGCAAATACAGCAGAACAATATAATCACTAGAGTATTAATGAAATCGGATAAAGAAAATTGGCTGTCTCTCTTAAAGTAAATAATAAGTAAATTACCTGGTATAGCCACTGCCATGAAAATCTGTGCTGTTTAAATTTGTGATAACTGTTTGCTGTGTGGAAAAAATTATGATGTAGAGAAAAATTAATATAGAAAATATGATGTATTTTTAAATATTAAAATTCCTGACAGAGAGATCAGAGTTAGAACTAATTATTAACAACTGATATCAAGAAACTAAAAGCTGTGTGTATTGATATATTAAACCTAATAAAACCCACATGAAGGTTAATATTATACCCATTGCATAGTTTGGAAACCTGAATCAAAGCTTCGTCAGACTTAGAAGCAGGGTCAAAACCAGGACATAGAAATTCTGTCTCCCATTCCTTACTCTAGTTACTCTCTCTCTTGCTCATACTTCCTCAGCTTCCAATGTAGCAGCAAGGCTATCTTTGTAAACTGTATTGATTAGTTAGCTAAGGGAACGAATAAAGAAAAATATGTAGAAGTGTGACCCTGCAAAATTCAATCACCCACTGTAATATGTATATTTATCCTAGCATGGGGACAAATTCTGGTATTACACTCCTTGTCCATCTAAACAAGTAGGCATTACAGCAGAAAAAACATAAGCTATAATAAAAGCGGACACTGCCTTCCTATGTCCTCCCTCTGTCTGCTGCCTTTTATGTGTGTGAGAGTTTGGACACCAGGCAACTTTAATTTGAATCATGACAACTAAATCTTGATTCCTTCACTTCAGACCAGTTGCTACCATTAAGTGTAACAGATGCTTGGAAGCGGGGAGCTATGTCTGAAACAATAACTAATACTTTGTGACTCAGCAGTTCCTTTCCTCCACACTCCAAATCTCAAAGCATTTCACAAATGATTAAGCCCTACAAAACTTCTTCTCTGTTAAAGAATGTCTAGCTCCATTTACAAAATGGAAATCAAGGCATAGAGGGGTTAAAAGATGCATGGACATCTGCAGAATTAGGAATTAAACCCTTATTTCCTGAGTCCCTCATCAACCTTCTGCTTTCCCAATAATACTTTGATAAATTAACTACATAATGTAGTAAATAAACCTTCTTAAATCTATCAAAAGAAAGTTGTTGGAAAAGAAAGAGTCTAAGGACCATAGCCTGAAAAATATTTAGGTGCCATCCAGTCACTGAAATCAATTTAAAACAATGACAGTTAGGCTCCTAAGGCAACTTTGAGGATCTGGGCCTAAACATGGTAACAAAAAGGATTATAATAAGTGTTGTAGTAAAAGCACAATCTTCTTGCACTGGTATGCTCGTTAGTTTTACTTCCAATCTTGCATTAGGGAAAAGAGATACAATGGCAGTAAATTATTTACTGAGAAGCAAGGCGACTTAGCAATTCTATCAGCTGTGGCAGGCTACTTGTAAGATACTATATACATATACTTGCAACGTCCAATTTGAAAAGAATGCAAGACTAGGTATGACTAATTAAAATAAGAGAAAATAGGGACTATGGTTAAGAACAGCAGCATCTTGTGGGGATGCTTTGAAGGGATTTATATAAGAATCTCAGAAACATGTTAAGTTTCAGTTTAACCAAACCGCTGGACAGACAAATGCAAAAGCAGCTATTATTCTGAAGTTGAAAGTGAAGCCGTTTAATATGATACATTCATTTTATTTTTTAAATAGCCGTGCACTCTTTCATACTGGGACCAATTCACTGCTTTAATCACTACAAGGAACACATTACCTGTAGTAATGTGTTCCTTGTAGTAAGTACCTACGTAGGCACTAAATCTAGAGATAACATTGAATAATATAGTCCATCTCACACATTGTGAAACCTTTTAGCAAAACAACCCATAAAACTGGGGTGCTAGGAAGAAAGGAGAAGTGTTGGGATACTGATACAGGTTATATATTGATAGCTGAACTTACCGCAACATTTCCACATGTTTGGAAGGCAGTGAACATAAACATAAAAGCCACTCCTAAAATAATTATGTTAAAAAGCTTTTTCGATTCAGATGACATTTTGTCTTTTCTTCGGAAGTTGTCAGCTTCTGCCTGGAAAAGCTCTAGTTTTCTTTTAAAGATCTCTTTTAAGTTCTGCTGAGAAAACAAAGCCAGGAAGAAACCCAGAAAAAAGGTTATTTTAAGCCAATTGCTAAGTGGTCAGAAGTATTCATCAACAAATTAAGAGATCTAGTACACTGCAGTAAATAGTAAATAAAGCATATAGCAGTAAATAACACTATAAACAATAGGCTAAAGGACTGGTAAGAAAATTAAGATTCTCTCTACCTTCAATATGAAGATAACAGAGCAGACTGCAGTATATTACTTCGTGACATTGCTTCCCCCAGAAAGAAGTAGTTTTCCACCATTCGAGCCAGTAAGTCAGCTCACTTTTTGGCCATTGCTCTGAATCAGATTTTGGTCAAAAGTCATTAAATCACCTGACTAAGGAAAAAAAAGATACTGGTATATACAAGTCATTTCCATTCATGCTGGACAGGAAATAAAGACGGTGTCACAATCCAGGTCAGCTGATCCAGGCTATAAGAAAACCTATGTGCATTATGGGAGATGCAGTTTCAGCACTTCTCCTCCTTAAACATGGCAAATGTTCAATATTAATAATCTGTTTGCCATTTCCACAAAAAGTATTCAGTAACCACCAGGCAATAACACATCTGCCAAGAAACCAAATCTCTCCAAAAGTCTCATAAGAACACTGTCTTGGCTTCTGCTTTCTAACATGCAAAAATAATTCAGAAGTAAAAAATGACAACGCTCAGTGTGTCCCTCCCATAAAAGCAGAAGAAAAGGAGATAGTTTATCGCTACTGACACCGGCACACACTCCCTTTCTGTTTCTGTTCCTGTCACTCACTAATTTACTCCAGAGAGGAAATGAAATGGTTGTCTCTGCAATCATTCAACATATAGCTTCCTAATGCCTCCAACATACACTAATTAATAGCAATTAAATATACTGACATCATTATTAAGTTTTGTAAACGTTTTGAAAAAGAAGTAACCTATAAGGGCAGAAAATCCTTATCAAAAAAGCAAGCAAGGCAGAAAATGAAAGTAAACCACCCTGCATTACTTGTTTTACTACTTCTTTTTATTGCACTTGAAGTGTTTGTATTACAGGAGCATGCCATCACAATTGGGACCTCAGTGTGCTAACCACAGTACAAAGACAGCAGGAAAGAAATCCAGGTCCAATTTAAGGAAATCACAAAACTCAATAATTTCAGTCTCACCAGTATTTTAGGTTTCCTGCCAAATGGGGCCTACCCAGCACCTATTACTGCAAAAACAGCCCAAAAGCTGTTATGACTTATTCAGTATTTCAACGATTTCCAAACTATTCATTTGCAAAATTGTCCAAGATTATATTTTTCAAACTTCATTGTTACGTGGGGAAGCCAATGGGACTACGTACTCCTGTGACTACTGATTTGTATAGGCTTCAAAGCACTGCTCACATGCAGCAGATGGAAGGATCATTGCCTTGGTTACTGGACTGAGGAAAGACAATCCTGAACCCCTCTTCCATATAATTAACACTTATATTAAATTTCTAGGTGAGACGGCAGGGAGACTCCCTCAGCTGTTTTGACGGATTCATTTTAAAGCAGATTTTAATCTCTTTCCTGACACGGAGGATTTTTACAACGCGATTCAGTAAGACATTTAAAATCATGCTGCTGCTCTGTGAAAGAAACACGTAGCAAAAAGCAATAAAACAGATGAAACAATGAGAAGCAACACATTTCCTTCCTTTAGATTACTGTTGCATGACATATAGTCATACTCCTATTTTATGCCAAAATTACCTCGTTACACATGCTTTTCACTCTTACGCAAAGTATTTACTTAGCAAATATTGCAATAAGAACAATTAAAATCTCACTAACCACTCTCAAAATCTTCTCACATTCACACCGTCATTACACTTAAAAAAGATCTCTAGAAGAGCAGTCTCTTCTCCTTTTCAGCTTATTTTACATTTATTTAAACAAAGTAGTGTTATCAAGGACACAGTCATACACCTCTTGAATGTTTTGTATAAGAGCTAGGTATTATGATTATTGTGTGGCTGGTATCATTAAGAAAACAATGCGGCCAAACTTCCCAGGGTTTCTCTACTGAACAGAGTTAAATGAGAAGTAAAAATTCCACGTGACAATCTACACCAGCGAAGGTGCTACAGCACCCTGGGTGCCAGTGAGATCCTTTTAAGGATGTCACAAGATGCCATATAATATTTGCACTCTTAGTTGGGCCAAACATCTCTACACATAATACACAGGATAAACCAGAGATTTCAAACACGAATCCATAGGGTCACAAAAATTCTGACTGGGATGATCCAAGTTCTTTGCAACAGAAAATCACTATTTTTTTCCACAGTCAAAAAGCAAGTAAAAGCTAAGAGATGGCATTTTCTGAGGGGTGCCTTGAGTCTAAAAAGTCTGAGAACCACCGATCAACTTCTACCATTGGTGGGAGCTACTCACTGCAAATGGCACGGCCACCTCATAGTACTGAGGCAATGAGAATATGAAATAAAATGGATAGAAATTGTACTTGGTGTCACTGCGCACGCATGTGATGCCCCAGCACATTGGAGGGGAGATGCAGCAGCATCGTTCCTCAGCTTTGGAGCTCCCTCTCTTCCCAGGTCGGCCTGGACCTCGACCAGAAGCACTCTACCTCCATGCTTCCCAAACTTCTCCTCAGCGTGACCCCATTTCCTCAGCATGGCCCCTTACCCCCAACCCACAGCCCTCCAGCCCCGCAACCCCATCCGCTGATGTCACAACCCACAGTTTGGGAACTGCTGATCTAAGCCTTTCCTATTTGGGGAGGCAGTTAGCAAGCCAGGCTGGGCTGGGATACAATGAGCTTTTGCTTTATTTACAGTCTGTTCAGTTTCACATGCTGTTTCTGTTCTGGAGCATAAGCTGCCCTGAACCTCTGTTGGGAAGGGCAGCACATAAACCCAAACAACTAAATATGGAAGCTGCAGTGAGGTGACACCCATGCCTCGGGGTGCCAGGATCTTCCATGCCGCACCTGCAGCAGCATGTCAGCGTGTGGTTACAGTAACTCAGAGCACCATACAACCTTGCTGAATTGCAGACCTGCTGTCTGGGGCTGTGTGAAATTTCGCCGGCAGTTTCATTTCAATGCCGTTTCAACTCATTTCGAGCAAAATCAAAATGAAACAGAGCTTCGAAACAGCCTTGAAACGAAACGAGGCAAGTTGAACTGTTTTGAAGCTCAAGCTGGGCTTGCCTGCAGAGAAACAGAAAGTAAAGTAAGGCGAGGGAGGGGGAAGAGGAGGGGAGGACTGCTCTCATTATTGACTGTGTAGCTGGCCGGGTGACTGTCATCCTTTTCTGGGGTCTCTTCCAATCCCAGTGCTCTGGGGGAAAGATGGAAAAACCACGCACACGCACACGCACACACACACCAGCTTGAGGTGCAGTTTCCCCCAAAGCCCTGTACCAATCTCCTTGAAAGCTGGCAGGCTTTGCCGCCTCAGCAGGGGCTAGCAAGCCTGCAGCTTTCACCCTGCTGTGGTTTAACATACCCGTGACATGAGCTTTTTGTTTTCAAGACTTCGAGGTACAGTTTCCCTGAAACCCTTGCATGTATCTCTTTGCAACTTGGCAGGCTCTGTGCCCTCAGAAGGGGCTACCATTCCTGCAAGTTGCATCCAAATCAGGTCAGAAATGGCAAAGTTATAGACTGCTTCGAGGCTCCCCATTATAACCTAGGGGCGAAACAGCGAAATAGCCTCGAAACAGCGAAACTGTTTTGACAAAACGAAACGGGACGGGACAGCGGTTTGGAATCTAAACGAAGTTCGAAACAAAACGCTGTTCCGTCGAAACGCAACTCGAAGCAGAACAGTGCAGTTTCACACGGCCCTTGCTGTCAGCCTGAGCAACATGCCCCCCCGCTGGTACAAGGGCTTTCCCAATGCCTGGCCACCAGGGCTGAGCGAAACAGCACCGTTTTGTTTTGACTTCCGTTTTGCCGTTTCGATGAGACAGCGTTTCATTTCAAGTTTTGTTTTGTTTCAAAAGCACCGTTCCGTTTCATTTCGTCGAAACTGTTTCACTGCTTCCACATTTCGCCCGTAGGCTATAATGGGGAAGCACAAAACTGCCTATAACGTTGTCATTTTTTGGCAGATTTGGATGCAAAAAGCAAGGATGATAGCCCCTCCTGAGGCCATGACGCCTGTAAGTTTTCAAGGAGATAGGTGCAGGGGTTTCTGAGAAACTGCACCTCAGGCTGCTGACAAGCAAAGCTCGTGACATGGGTGATACTGTGCGTGCATCAAGGCGTGCCTTCACTGGCGCTGGGGCCTCTACACAACATGGTAGGAGGCCTCAATGAGGCCTCCTCCTCCCCTACAGCCTCAGTCCAATCCACCCCTTTAACTGACAACAGGTAACAACTTAGCAGCACAACAGCACCAGCAGCATTTCAGGCAGCCAAACAGTCAGCCAGGATCAGAGCTGTCCTTACTTTCCGTTTCCCTGCAAGCAAGCCCAGCTTCAGCTTCGAAACGTTTTGACTGCTCTCATTTTGTTTCGAAGCCCTTCATTTCGTTTCAAATCTGCCGTTTTGAGGTCGAAATGAATCGAAACGAGACAGCCGGCGAAATTTTGCACAGCCCTAATGGCCACCCACCCCATTCAGAAACCAGGGGCAGCCCCAGCCTGGCCGGCAGGGCAGGTGCGTGCAGGGGGAGTTCGGGTGGCACAACCAGCTCTGCGGGTGCACGGGGAGGTTCTCCGCCCACAGCACTTCGCCAGGCGGGTCGTTCCTCCAAGGGCTTTTGTGCCCTTTTTCTGGGGAGCTTCCACGCTCCCACGGGGAGTTTCGCCCACAGGCAGCCCTGGCGGGGAGGGGGGGGGGCACTGGGACACTCGCACCCCCTGTCTTCACACGAGTCCTGCGGGCCGCTGAGCACAAGGAGGGGATCCAAACATCGTACATGCCCCTGGGCAGCGAAGGGCCCACGCAGGAGCCAGGCGGGGGAATGCTGCAAACTCGCCTCACGCGGCAGGTGGGAGGCCCCAACACGTGGCGAGAGGAGGGAACAACCCGCTCCCTCCTCCGCCTAGATGCCGCCAGCGCGGCCGGTCAGTCCGCCGGCCCCCACCTCGGCTGCTCGGCCGCCATTTTGAATCGCGATCTGCTCTCCCGCTCCCGTCCCCCACCCTGGCCTGGCCCGACCCCTCGCGTTCATTTTATTTCTCTTCCCCATCAGCAGCTCGGGCCCCACCGTACTGCTTTATTCAATCTAGAGGGGTTAATTATAAGTTTTTGGCAAGCGTTTCATTCAAAATTTCCCCGCCTCGGACAAGCCCTTCCGGGTCACGGCGAGGCCTCCTCCCCCCTCCCCCTCCTACCCAACGGCCGCTTTGGACCGCGATCGAAATATTAATTGCGCCGCGGCTTTTCCTCGGCGGCCGCTGACTGAGAAGCTCGGATATTTAAAAAAAAGAAAAAAAGAAGCGAGCTTCACCAAAAAAAAGTGTCTGGAGCGCGCGCGGACCCGGCGGGTCCGTTCCCG